CTTTGAAATACCCATTCCTAAGGTAGTCAATGCCCAGGATACATGGGGCATCTGGACCAGTCAAAATGGGGTGTTTCTGCCACTCCTTCCCGGTCAAGCTCACTTCAGCTTCCAACACAGTCAACTCTTGAGACCCTCCTGTCACCCCAGAAATGGAAATAGTCTCTGGTCCCACATGTCCTGAGGGCATTAACGTGCATTGAGCGCCAGTGTCAACCAAAGCCTTTGTGGTGGTTTTAATCTAGGCCTTCCCTGGTTACCAGTTTGTAACCAAGGAAAGGGCAGTGTTCCCAGTATTCCATATGATTTTTACATAAATCGTGGTATAAATAAGAGGGGAGAAGCAGCCTTCGTTCTCTTCTCTTCCACCGAACTTCGGGAACAGTGGGTCCTTGCGTTGGTCTCGCTTATCTAAGGCTGAGGCCTGCAGCATCCACTGACCTGCCACGTGGAAGCTTGGAGAGTGCTGACCGTGTGTGTGTCAGTCCTGTTTCTTTCTAAGGGATGTGGTGAGATTTGTTTTACTAGTTATTTTACTAGTTCTCGGGTTTGATTGCGCATATCTATTTGGTGTCCCTTTTTGTTTCCTTTTTCCCCTTTCCCTATCCCTTCGGGGAGTGTTTGGATTCCCGTTTGCTGTGTACATAGCATCTTAACTGTAATATACATAAAATATATTTTTTATATAACTAGCTTGGTTTTCGGGTTCTTCAATTTGCATAGTTTTTTTTCCTTTGCTCTGGGGAAGTAGAAAGGGGGGAAGAGAGGGGCTGCTACTGGGGGGTTGGGCATTTGGCAGGGAACCAAGTCGGAACCATCACAGCCTTATATTCTTGTGGGTCTGATGTGCCAGGCCATCGGATCCACACAGTCCAATAGACACGGTTGTCCGGTGACTCTACCTAGCTAGAGGCAGGGCCCCTCTAATACTAGTTTTCATCCTGTTTGTCACAGTTTTCCATCTGAATACCTGTGGGAGGTACCTTCTAGAGGGTCAGATCTGTGCCCACAGGATACTGGCTTTTTTCCTCTCCTTCAGCTCTTGTACTCGGGCTGCCAAGACATGGGTAGGTTTCCTGTCCCACTGTCTCATGTCTTCTCCATGGTCAAGTAGGAAATACCACAACTCAGTTCGTGAGGTCTGTCTACTCCGTCTAGCTGGGGATGTCTGGTTCTCACTGGTGCCACATGGGAACTGTTTCTCTCAGTCTTTCAGTTTCTCCTGTTGATCTTTTATTTGTGTAGTTAGAGTCGTGAGGTCATTGATCAAAGTCTATACAGAGGAAATGTGGGCTTGTAATGGTCCTTGGATAGTACTGTCTTACAACCAAAGTTTATTTGCTATAAACGTCACTGTCTCTCTCTTTTCCCCAGCCTCCAATGATGTCAGCTAACTGGCGTGTGCAGATGGCCCCATACGTATGGAGCTCCACCACATCTGTGGTGTACATTTAACCTTGTCAGGATCATCAGTGGCTTGCCCATCCCTTCCAAACAGCACCTCCAACAGTGCCATTTCCCTCAACCATAGGATCCCCTCCTCCATGGTTTTCCAGCCCTTTGCAAAATGGTCTGCCTGCAAGGAATGTCTGTAAATGAACCTCTCCCTCACACAGTTCAACAGCCGTGCCCAGAGAGACAGGGGCTTTGATTCTCTCACAAATGCCTCCTCAGTACCTATGTCCTGGGCAATAGACGTCAAGAACCTTGCTTCACTGCCATCAAGGTTTATGGCATCACCCATGGAGTCCCAAACTCGGATCATCCAGGTCAATATGGGCTCATTCGGATGATGAATAACGTCCGCCATGAAGTTCCATAGGTTGTCATACCATAAGGACTCAGTGATGATTTCTGGCTCCAGGTTGGCTGCCTGTGAGGGTCCTGCCTCCCCATCATCATCAACTGGGCAGGCCGATTTGGTCCTATATTTCCTCTTTTGGATAGGGGCAACCTCCATTGGCTTGTTCTGTCCCTTGGAATTGGCCTTATCTGGAGTCACCCTGGTATCAGGCATCTTGTTTTCGTCTTTTCCTTTTCTCTAAGAGGGCTGCACCATACTGAGCAACTTTCTGTAAGCAACGGCCAAAACCCCACATGCAGCTGCCAGCTGCCTCTCTATGGGTCTACCAGGACCTCTCTCCCTCACAGCTGTCATTATCTTTGTAGGGTTTAGGATTTTTTCGAGAGTGAGCTTCCATGTTGTAGGAGCTGAACAACTTTCTAGAAATTTACCCATATCTTCCCATAACCCATGCCATTTGAGGTTTCCACCCCTGGGGCCAGCTTCTGTACCCGTTCTTGATAATTCCTGGCCCTAGATACATATATTAGATATGACACTGTGGCACAAGCTTGCAAGAGAAGCCCAAAAAGTAAAACATCTCTGACATCCAAAGAGAAATTTAATTTCCCAGAGGCCATTGTATTAGAACCAAAGGGAAAATGGATGAAGGGTTGGGCAAATATACCCCCCTGTGTTTCTCTATAGGGATGTGTGTCATTATCCTTAAACCCCTAGAGGAGACATTGTAGGCAAGAGCAGTAGTGTATCCTTGAGAACATATCCCGGATGAAAATCACAGGTGCTGAGTTTGCCATGTCATAAACCCAATGCAAAAACTCAAACGTTCTTATAGTATCTGAGCTGAAATACACCGACAGATGGGACAGACATCTTGACATAATTATATGCCAGAGGAAAGCAATGACCCCAGACTTCATGGTGGCTATAGGTTCACAAACATGTATAAAATCACACAAGGGCAGTTATTCCTTTTCCACTTTTCCTCTCTCAGGTCCCACATTGGGCGCCAGAAATCTGAGCTTCCACTCCAACCTTGTTCCAGCCTCAGCAAGAAGCTTGAACTCCTCCCCCTGTTTCCCAAGAGACGAGAGGAAAAAAAAAGTAAAAAGGAGCTCATCACCCCCATATCCCAGGAGGCGAAATTCTGAGCCATTAGAAGAAAGCAGCTTCTTTTGTGCTCCTTAACTGCTCACTTAACAAACCTGCACACAGTGGGCAGGGGGAAGGAACAAATTCCTGCCTAGTTTCCAAGAACCAGCAAAACCATGACAGTTTCATAGTATTTGATTCAGAAAACAAAGCAGAAAAAGGAAAGGTAGAAATGGGGAAAATGCAAAAATCTGTATGACTCAGTAAGGCAAACTGCTCTTCAGACAGCCTATAGTTAAGGCCTCTAAGTTTTTTTCCTTAGTTAAAACTAAATAAAAATTAAAAGTTAAAATAGTTGCAAAATCAGATGTTTGGACTGGTAGAACTGTGATTCTTTTGATACTGATTTTTAGTTTTATACTCCAGCTTCCCCATCAGTGAGGACTGTGCACTTTAGCACTGTGAATAAGCAGAACTAGTATAGGGCTTGAGTTGAGATGTAGATGAAAAAGATTTTCTGATTTTTTTCATGTAGCTAGCACAAGGAGGTAAAACCAGAATTGGATTGAAAGAAAAGCTGGAGGACCTTTGAAGAAAGCATAACAAAAAGGGAAGACTTTGGAAACAGGTTAGAGAGGACCAGAGAGACATCAGAACACAGCAAGACACAAAGTAAAACAGAATATTTGTTATGTCGTTGATGATCCTTGTGGGCCCCTTCCAACTGTGATTCTGTGAATTTAGGTCTTTCTCCACAAGGAGGTTTATACAGGTCCATGGAAAGGTCTGTTGCCACCAGTGGTGTTGATCCGTCTACACAAGATAATTTAAAGGAGCAAGCCTCCAGGGGCATGTTGTAAGAGGAGTCTTTGTCTTGCATGGTTTTATGTCAGCATTCAGTTTTGTTATGTGGTATTAGATGTGTGTATGCTTATTTAATGTTTAGGATAGCAATAATTTATTTCTATGCACATATTCTGGGAAAAGGGGTGTTCCTTGCATTTTGTCTAAATATTGGACAAGTTTTTTGCTTGTTTGTTTGTTTGCTTTTGTTTGGTTTTACTTGTTTTGTTGTTGTTGCTTTCTAATTCTTTTATGGAACTGGAAATAAACCAAGTGTTTCACTTTACTATTGAAAACATCTAAGTGGAATGCTATAAAAGATCAAAGAATGTTTGTGACTAAGAAAAATTGTAGAACAGATTTTAAAACATATTTTGAAGTTACAAATATAAACATTTTAAATTAGAATTATATCCAAATTGAAGTACAGGTACTCTCCACAGATAGAAGGTAGACAATAGCATAGACATGGTAAATGGACCTATCTGTCTGCTGTCAGTACTTGGAAATTTCTAAAAGCTTCTATCTTCTGTGTGTAGTCCCACTTTCACTTTTCATCAGAATGAAACTTACATTCCATAATACAGGAGCCTACATTTTCCATATTCATAGAATTTAACAACTGATTTTAGGACTTTCTCACGAGAATTTCATTATATTTTCAGCCATCTTTATAACTTCAGTTAGGTAATTGTTTTTATTTTAGTATCAGTTAGTGAAATGCTACAGGGGTTTAGATTTATTTTTTTTTCTATTCAGTTGATCACATGATATAAAAAACCCTCTAAAGTTGCTAAGACTATCTGATTTCTCAACTACTTATTCTAGACAGCATTAGAAAATTAATTTGAAACTGTGCATGGCCTTTGTGGAGTACTGATAACAGTCTTCATATAAACTATAACTTAAATTTTTCTGGTTTTACTGGAAAATTATGCCAGTTGATAGTGCTTCTGAAATCAATTTACAAATATTCTTGGAAGAGCTGCAGTTGCATGCTTTCTGTTGTTGTAAACGAAACAAAACTACCTCCTGACACCTACATCTTCACAGTGGAGTCTGTCCATTGTCCTTAGATTCAGAAATAGAGAATTATTGACAGCATCTACCTGATTTTTAGAATAAAAAATGCATAAACATATTTGAGTTTTATCATTTGTTAATATTTACTGAATTTGGGAAGCTGACTTCTGGCTGTATTCAAAGAAAAAGATCTCACATGCATGTTAAATATCAATACAGTAATTTTTATTTTTAACAGACATCACAACCTTCAGCTGCTGCTCAGGAGTCTTGCAACGTATGGTATGTGAACTTAGAAGCCATTCTAGAGTGGGTGAATGTGTCATTGAAAAGGTAGATTTTTTTTTTTCCTTGCATCTTTACATTCAAAATGTGAAAAAACTGAGTGGAACAAGTTTCAAAAATGCTTTTCTGCCAAGGTCCACTGTATGTTACAGACACTTTATAGCTGGGGGAATTCTTCGCAGTAACTTCTGTCTCTACCATTTACAGATTTTTTTTTCTCCGTCTTAAATGATGTTTTGTTTTGTTTTTAATGTACGCAGAAATGCTACAAGTGATAAATTCTGTTTCCTGCTCCTATATAGATGAGTGTATTGTTTGTGCAAAAACCTGTCATGGGCACCTCTACATATTTGTCAATGCTTAATATTATATTTATTAACTAGGTTTTGGGGTTTGCTTTGTCTTGCTCACTATAGTACTTGTAGTACTAATATATATCTTGACATTGATAGTAAGAAACGTTTCCTCATAACGAAGAGTTTGTTAAGAGATCAGTTTTTGGAATATCATGTATTGTCTTTTATACTTAATTCACTATTATGTCATATGAGTAGAAAACAAACTCAAAGGTCTGATGACAAGCATCACTGCTTTTGAGTTTTTACTGCTCATTTGAGATTACAAACCATTTCATAACTTTTCTCTTGTACTGATTGCTTCAGCTGAGTATTTCACTAAGTTGTTTTAGGTCTGGAAGTTAATGTTTTTGCATAGATATTGATATTAATAAGCAGAAACAGTGCTTTTCTTTTGTCCTACAGATTTTCTTTGATGAGTCTTTGATTCTAATAAGCAAATGATATCTGCATTCTTTTCTGCTTAGACTTCAGTGTCTAAGTTTTACTATATTCTAAGTAACTTCTGTTCTAAGAAATCCACATTAAAATTGATGCACAAAGAAAAAATAAATATTATGACTATAAAACTAAGCATTCCAAAATTTTTAAAAAAATTTGTTTTCTGTTCATTGTGTTGCTCTACATTTATTTTGTTAAACGTTAATTAAATTATTTTTAAAATTAGCAGTCTCTTTTTCTTCTATGATGCCTAACAGAATGGTTATCTGTTAATTAACATTAATCTTGTAGGTGCTTTGAAAATTATGGGTCATGAGGTATTTCCTCACTTTACAAAATCGCCTAATCATGAATCCTTTATCATAAGGATGCAGTTTTTCTCAATACTTTGCCTGTTATATTATTTCAGTAAAATCAGATTCAATATTGATAGTAATATTATTCTTTTCATTCTTTGCTGTAATGGTATTCTTTTTACCTCTACCTTCTGCATTTGAAAACTTAGAAGGCCAGCTAGGAGACCTGGGAAATACAAAACCCATGGACTACCCAGAAAAGGCTTGACATATTTGCTCAAGGTTGCAGAGGAGCAGTGCTCCTCTGATGATGAAGTCAGAGAATGCAATTTTCTGTGAACACCTTCAACATCTTTGTGTTCATTTTGTCATTAAATATCCTAGAAACTCTTGCTTCAAACTCTCACTTCTCTGGCAAGATCCTGTGATTTTATGGATAAATGTATGGGGCTTAAAAAATTCTGAGTTATCTCCAGATCCTCCTGGCCTCTGAATACTTTTGTGATCATGTGTTATTTTCTCCTGTATGACTCCTGAATCAAAGGCTAAATCATTTTACATAAGCAAAAAGTCTATTTGCAGGCTGTAAAAACCCACTGCTTCCCAGCTGGTTCTCTTTCACCATCTGTCCCTGTTCTTAACTGATGTCCTTGGGTTTCATGCACATATTAGTATATAGATAATCTTCAGTGATTATACATATGTACCTAGTGCTGCTAGTGGCCATTATTGACCTGCATTTTCTTTTCCCCGTCACTTATCACTTGTTTTGGCTTCTTTTTCTAACCATTCCAATTTTTCCTCTTTATGCAGTCCAACATTAAATCTGTGTACCTTCAGCTCCTCTTCAGATCTTGCTAATTTTTTCCCTACCACCTCCTCCACTGGTAGGCTGTTACTTCTTTTACTGAGTCAGTGCTTCCACAGTCCATTGCCAAACTGATGCTAAATCAGTCTCAGGTTCCTTGTTACCACACCTCATCTCTCAGTGTCTCTGCATAGGGGACATAGACATGTCCTTCTTCTTTCTTACTGTCTCTTGCATTCCCATTTTTTTCCAGGCTCCTAGCTTTCTTTCATGAATCACTCTTCGTCTCCATTTGGAAATCCAGGATACTATTCCATGCCAGAAAAACTCAACAAAATCACTAGAAAGTGCTTTTCCCTTCATTTTAGTGCCTAGCCCCTGGCATCACCCAGAGGGTGGTTGTGCCCTGGAGCAGGCTCCTCAAGGAAGTGATCGCAGCACCAACCCTGACAGAGTTCAAGAAGCATTTGGATGATAGTCTCAGGCACATAGTATGACTCTTCAGGATAGCTATGTGCAGGGGCAGGAGCTGGACTTGATCCTTACGAGTCCCAACTCAGCATATTCTGAGATTGTGTGCTCTGTGATCTCAAAATGGAGTGCTGGAGAGTTAAAGTAAATCTCTGAACGAGCCTAATTTGTCTTTGGTAATAGCATATGGACACATTGGTCAGCCTCATAAACTTTGAGACTGCGCATGTTCAAGGAATTTTGAAGGATTTGAAAGCCTTTGCTTATGGGTAAACTGGCCTTTGGTTATATGTCAAGTAATTATTTTTTTCTCCAAGTTAAAAACGTGTCCAGATTTAAACAAATTTTCATAAGTGCGATAAAAGGCACATCTTTGATGCTTCATGTAATTTTGGGGTTTTAACGCACAAGGCAGGAGTAAGTTTCTCTGCTAAGTGTTTCCAGAATGTTTTCTGGCATTGTGTGTGAAAAATAACCTATTTTTCCACCCAAGTTGATGGGGGGTTTCTTCTGAAACTGCAAAATTGGTTTTACTAAAATTTTCTGTATCTTTCAATCAGACAAGTAGCAGTCATGGACACATCTTCCCAAATTACTTTGAAAGACATTTGCAACTGAAAGCAGTGCTTAAACTAAAAATGTTGGGCAGCTTCTGTATTCATGGCTCAACATCACTTTAGAAACATTAGTAAGTAAAGTGTGACTGGAGTTGATAATGTTTCTCATCTGGTCTTTGCTCCTGCAAACACCTGCATAACTTCAATCCTCAGCAGTGTTTCTTCTGATAGATGACTATATTTACTGAAAATACTAATAGTTGTGTACATATGTACTACTAATAATTGTGCGATTATGTAGGAGTTTAAATATATTTTATATGTATTTTCTTTTGAAAAAGTGCCTTCAAGATTGAAATTAAATTCATAAAATTACAAATAATGAAAATAACTGTCTCCATGTAGAGTATTAAGGATTTGTCATGGTCTCTGCACTTTGTGTTGTAAAGCTACATATACCAAAATACAAGTACCATTTCAAGCTTTGGTGGGGTAAACAAAGGGAAAAGCTATATTCTTTTCATAAGAAATCTCCTTCCACTGTACTTGGTATGCAAGATTTTATGGGTTTCCAGAACTCAGAACATTCAGCTGAGAAACTGTGCTTGCCAATTCCAGATTAACAAATGGCAAATTGATTTCACTGCTTTAAGAATCTAATGTTTTCATTAGTATTGCAGCATTATTCTATCTGTGGACAAGTTTTAAACATATTTCAAAGCTCCTGCATTTTGAAATGTGTGTTACAGATTTCTGAGTTAATAGTAGCAAGCCGAGTTTTGACCAGAAGATTATGGTGGTTTTTCTTTCCACAGTGAAGTCTTGGGGAAAAAAAAAAAAAAAGGTAAACCCTTTGACTAAAGGAGAAAATAACTCTAGTCATCATTTCTTACTCATTGATTTCCAGTGAACATGATGGGTGTTTTTCTTCTTTTGCTGTCAATAGGCAAAGTGGACAATTGGGAAACTGCACTGTCCATTCTGTGAGGCTTGCTTAGGGGGCTTTAAACTTTGTTTGCAACAAAAGATATTCCCATGGACAGTTAGTAAATATACATTTCTGCAAAACTCAAGCTGACTCTCAACCATCTTTCTCTGATAAATTGTCAAAATCATCAGGAAAACACGTGCCTGTCCTCAAAATGCAGTCTAGTTTTAGCAAGCATACCTGCCATGAAGTGGTAACTGCAACTTTAGAAATCAAAAATCAAGGGCTTTCCTATGTGGCCAGAAATAATAACCGTTCTGGAAGATTAACAGAAGCACTTTGTCTAGAAGTAAAATCTCCAAGACGTGAGATGAAAAGTAAAAAACTTCCCTTAAAGGCATTAAACCAAAACAGAAATCTCTCTTCTTCCTATTCTATGAATAATGCATGTACTGTAAAACCTCTTCACATAAGATCACATAGTTTGGATTTGCATATTAGAGAGAGACTGGTTTTTTCACCAGTGTTATATGAAACTTGCAGTATGGGAACAATCACCTCGGCCAAAATAAAAACCCACATGCTTATGCATAGGATGGCTTGCAGTAAGAAATATGGTAGTTCTTTTCAGGACCTGCATAGTTCCAGTGCTGACAAACTACAAAACCAATTTTGAATTACATCATTTACCACATTACTATACAGAGGAACAGAAAGTGAGTTTGGAGCTCATGGGCAATCTTCTGCGAGTGTCGTTGCTGATAGGTCACCATTTGTGATGAAACTTTCTTCACCTACAAGGGCTGTATAACACAAAGATTGCATCACAGCTGTTGGTCTTGTACAGCCTACAAGTATTTCCTTCAATCAAAAGCTGAGAAAGGAAAAAGAAGCAAGTTGAAAAGCTTGAGGAGAAAGCAAAGGCGGCGAGAACGATAGGTACGGAAGCAAGTAGGTGATGAAAATTAATTATGCTACTTTTTTTGGTAAAGTTTGACTTACTTATTCTGACTTTCTTTTTTGCTGTCTCCTAATACTGGTAGAACTGTCTAGAGTTAGATATCCCGCAAACAAGGATTTATGACCCCTTCCTACATGTATTTTTTTGATAATTGAATCACGTTTTTTTCTGTGCAAAATCTAACAACAGTGAGTTGGCCTTCTTATTGCTTTATGGTGTTATAAGAAATTTGAAGTGGAAAAAAAGGCAGTGAAATACAGTGAAATTTAATCAAATTAAGTGATTAAAGAAAAACTGAATATTTAAATCTTCTAAATGAGAAACTCTAGCATTTCAGTGTTACCAAACTTTTAACTAATGGCATTTTGAGTTAACTTTACAGTTAAGAATGTTTCAAAGATGTTTGCATTTATTATTTATCATAACACAAATATTGTTCTATGAGTAAGGAATTGATTGTTGTATTTATCGTAACACAAATATTTTTCTATGAGTAAAGAATTGATTAAAATACTAGTCTTTAGTAGATAAATATTTGGTCTACAAATCTAACATAAAATGTTACATGTTCTTACCAATTGTACAACCATAGTTTTTTTCTTCAAACCATCTAAAGCAGAACAGGATTAAAGGCATAGATAGTCATGCAATTTTTGGTGGAAGGCAGAGGCGAAAGGCCACGAATGAGTCTTAAAAGGCTTAAGGCAGTTTTTGTTTTCTCTGAAATGTAGTAGAAAGACTAGTGATATATATGCCTTTAAAAGAAAATTTCTTATCATAATTTCTGCTATGAAATACTGTGCAGTCAGTAAGAGAAAATATATTAATCAGATAAGTCGTATCTATTCAAGAAATTATTCCTGCTTTGGGTAAGTTTGTCAAGTGAATTCAAGATTAAGAGAGAGATAGTTTGAGGCTGTCTCCCTCTCAATTAAATGTGAGAACCAGCTTGAAAATGAAATGGGTCTGGGACATGCTATGGGGGTTTTCAGTATGGTATGCATACTGAAAAGTTTCCATCTTTCATTTTTGGGAAGGGTTTAATTTGCCCAAAGACTCAAATTGACATTGTGGCCTTTTGAACAAAACTTGTTCTTATTTTGTAAAATGCATCTCTGAAGCTGAGAGCAAAGAACATCCAAATTTGGATGCCTTAATTTGAATACTGGTTTTCTAATCAGTCTAAAGATTCTTAGGTGTCTGAGTCCCTAAAATAGCTTTAAAAATTCCAGGCCTTATGATGATGTACAAGCACAGTGTACATGAGCAAAGTTGTGTCATCTGCAGTCTCTCCAGACACTTTAATATTTGTTAAATGTTACTCTCAAGAGTAAAATGGTATACAAAATTTCCAAACTTGTGATATCTAATAAAGAAAAATACTTTCAAATCTTCTTCTTGTTAAAACATACCTAACCAATTCCTACATTATTTTAATTATTTACATTCTATAACAAATTATATACAGTTGTTAAATCTGATAAGACTCATCAGTAAGCATATGGTTTCCAAAGGAAAAAAAATTAAAATTAGTATGTAAACTAAATAATCTGGGTTTGAATAGTAGTTTTGAGAAGAAGGTATTTTGGATTTGCATTGATTCCTTTAACCTTCGTGAGAGTCTGCAGTCAGGGCATGGAACGTTTAAATTGGATCTACTTCTCATAAAGTGTCAAGCAGCATGTGTGACTAGTTCAGTTGTGTTTCCGATCACTGAGATGCCAGGAATATGTGAATCTAGAAAATCACATCCTCTGTACAGTCTGACATGTCACAAATAGGGATAATCCTCTGCCACACGCTCCATGTTATGGTAGCTCACCTCTGGTGTCAGTATCCTCCCTTTTCTTGGAAGGTCTACTTGCTATTGTTTTTCTTTAGCATTCTAACGATCCTCCTTGTCAAAATGTGCATTTTGTTGCTGTGGTACTTTCAATAGGAAGCTGATCTGTGGTACTTCATAAACATGATTTCTAACATACTTAGCATGTATTCTTAAGCATTCAGTAAAACTTCATGAAGTGAAAAAAGAATAAACCTCTGAGGGGATGGAGCAAAAGAGTTTTGATAAATGACTAGGGGAAGTATGTAATTTAAGCACTCTTTAAGACATACTGATGTTAGGTGAATATCTTCTAAGCTATTAGAAGCTATTTTATCTTTAGTTAAAGCTTTTCTGGAAAGCAAGCCAAAGAAAGCAGACCTATTCAGCCTTTGGAATTTCTTTGTTAGATGCATGGGCTGCTCTTCTAAGCTTATTTTGTTGTGAGATAACTTATCTGCTGAAGGGTTTTTTTCTGTATTTCAGAAAGCCAAAGTGTGGCCATAAATGTTGTGTTGTGGCAGAATGCGACTATGTTATTAAATTGAAGTATACACACCTTGTAAATTACACATTGTAAATGTGTAATTGTACACATTGTAAATAGGAGCAAGTCTGTGAGGTCCTGAACTGCACTTGCCTCCAGAGGCTTGCACTGGTGCAGGTTCTAAGATGTAGGTGCATGTAGCGAGTCAATAACTAAACGATCCCAGGGGAGGCAAGAAACTGGAATGGTTTATTGGACTTATAAGTTCATTTTAAAGGGTTTAGGCTTTACATATTCAACAGGGGGTTGGAATTATTACAATTTATTACAAAATAGAGGGGGTTAGGGGATGACATAAGGGGAAAACACAAGTTAACAAATTTGGGGTCTTAACAATTACCTCATGGGGAAAACCCCACTTTATCTTAGGGGATTTTACAGGGGGGAACAGATAGTTGGTTCTACAGGATGCAGGGTTTCAGGGAACACAAAGGGAGAGATAAGGTACAAATAGTCTTCTGCATAGGTTTGATGAAATCAAGGTATGGACTCTCTGGGCTGAGACAGGTCAATCAATACCAGTGATATCTCGTTTTATTCTCAAACCGAGGTTTTTTTCCTAACTGTCATAGTTCACGGCTTTCTGCAAAGTCCACTCAAATCCCTCTCTGCAGATATCATATTTTGGGATCCAACAGGTGCAGGACTGAGCTAGATATCCAATAGCAGAGGGACCCAAGCTTCCTCTGCCTGTTCTTGCAAGGAACTGCTCTTAATGCCTGTGAGGGAGATGCTTGCATTTTGTGTGTGCACATCTGTGTTCACAGGGGATTTTTAGGTTTCTGTTAGGATGTGATTATATTGTTGGTGCATGATAATTATATAAATTCTTAGGTTATGAGAATAACTACTTAAGTCTAGGAATTGGCAGTATTAGTAATGGGTCTTGTTATTATTATTATAGCTAGGAGGATGAAGTATTTCTTTTAAAAATTCCATTTTGGGTATATCTTGTTATATATTTACATCATTTGGTAATGCATACAGTGTATATTAATTTTCTGAAAGATCTCAGACAGAAATACCATTTGTGGCTGTTCCAGTTATATTTGCTTTCTCCTCACAGTCATTTTACATAGAGGAAGGTTACATAGTCAGCTTCAAAACTGCAGTATCCGTTTGGATCCTGATTCATTGGGGAAAAAAATATCGGCACTTTTTTGCGTAATTTCTTAATGACGCTTTACCAGTTCTTTTGTATCTTTTTGAAAACATCAATGTTTTGTCTTATGAAGGTGACTAATGGTTTCTTGGATACTGAGAGTTTCCAAGAAGTGAGTTTGTGTTCATGCTCCCAGTGTTAATCTGAACTCAGGAGAAACAGATAGGTAGGATACTTCATAGTCTACCCACACTGTCAGGTTTTGTTATCTCACCCTGCAGCCTTCAGTTTTCATGTCCGTAATCATGTCCTCTAGCAACTTGTAGTGAAAGTGCTCTAGAAGTCTTGTAGTGAAGGTGCTAGGTTTCAAAGGTTTAACTTCTGACCAAAGTTCGTTTAATCTATGCAAGTCTCTTTTTCAGGTATAAATTGGTGTACAATTCTTTTTCTTGCATTGTAATGTTTGTATTGAAACTGTAAATGCTTCAAGTGTTCAGTTTTGCATTTATGCACTTGGATTTCAGTTACTCCTTCTATGATACTGATTACAAGAATTAATTGTCCTCAAACTATTTATGGACTTCTCAACTGGCTGCTGAAGGGCTAAAAGCATTATTTAGTGTTGGCACCAAAGTAAATCAGGAAGGGAATGAGTTGAAATGAAATCACAGCTAGAGTAGGCAAACAGTAACTATAAAGTTTCAGTTGAGAACTTTGTTAGGGAAATATGAGGACCTGGAGGAATACTATGTCTTTCTTGAGTGACTTAAAGAGTAATGAAGATTAAATATTAAGATAAAGCTTTCCAATCTGCGGAAGAGGGAAACTCTAATTTCAGTGTCTGAGAACCACTCCTGCTCTTATGTTTAAGGCATTCTTATGTTTAAATCCTTCACTGAGAGCAGCTGATGGTTTCTTTCTATTTACTCCAGAATCAATTTGTGGTCATTTTTGTGCATTTGGTTACGTGATGAAGTCTTGTCTCGGGACCGGGAGACAGACCAGCGATGGGGGTTCTTGCCTTGCCTGCAGATGGTAAGATGGCAATAGCAAGTGCTGGCAGGTTAGGTTCAGGTATTGCGTGCAGTGCCCCAAAAAGAGAGACAAGAGACATGACATGAACACCAGGCCAGCCAAAAGCCGATCCATTTATTAAATAAAATTAAGGGGTTTTTATACCCCTGATGGAAGATTAATCTAGAAAAAGGGTGGAACACAGGCAGAGCATGCAAATCCACTACACGTAATTGGGTGATATCTAATACATAAACATAATAGGGAGTGAACATGGGTGGAGAGAACTAGGGGTAACCCGATTGGACAGTACTACACAGTAGACTGACCAATAATATGCTGTGTCCATGCCTGTCAGGCGCTAAGTCCATGAAGGGAGAAGGGTTCTGGAGGGAGAAAGCAACCTAATAATTATGTTTTAATAAACTTAACCACTACAGACAGTCTTTTCAGGCTTATTGAGGCTGATCAAAGGTCTTAACCATCTTATTTCTCCACTCCTTGA